GACCTGCTGCAGAGGAGACAGTAAATGTCTGCGTGATGAGATCCAGAGGCTGTGTCTTGAAACCCATTTGGATAAAAAGGAAAATGTAAAAAATGTATCTTCTAAAGAAAAGAAGATTGGTCTGACAGCTGCTGAATTAATTGGATCCTAGGGTTTACAGAGCCTATCAACTCATCTCTCTGCTTCATATTTGGTGTTTTTTCCATCTGTAGGAACCCGTGCTGAAACACTATCATTTAGGATAAACTTTGTCCACTTTGTGATGGATAATATTATTGTCACCAAAGGAGGTCGACAGATGAAAGGAGACTAGAACTGGGTTTGCTGCATCACTCTCCATGCTGCCGTTTATTCCAAAATCTTCGATAATGGGCAAAAATCTGACAGAGCAGAAAATCACCAGCTGTTCTGAGCTCATCTACCGCTGCGCAGCTGCTTAGAGAACTTGCTGGATTAAACCAAAGAGATTTCAGAGAAGAGCAGCAAAACTTTACAAGAACTAAGCAGGTTTAAGTAAGCAATGACTACACAACTTTACAAGAACTAAGCAGGTTTAAGTAAGCAATGACTACACAACTCAAACGGGCTCAACATTGTAAGCCCAAAACAAGGGAAGGAAATATTGGGCTAAGCCAGTAAGAGCACTTGGGGAGAAATGGCATGAATTCAAAGGTTTGTCTAAATACAGAGGTGTACTGACTTCATTTAGACATGCTTTAAAATGCCTTAGGTAAATAAGGTCAAAAGGCTAAGCAGACACTCTTCTTTTGCTATAAACCATGTTTGGTGTTAAAATATTTGGAAATAAATTTTAAACAGCAAAAAATATATTTCTAAGCCTGAGGAAGAACAACTGCAGAAGTTTTTGCTTGCTAAATTAAACAAGCACAAAGGCATGAATGGAGAGGGACAAGGAAGGGCAAAGCCAGTGAGAACAGGCGTGAAAAATTATTAGAGGCAGAGTCTTGCTTTGTCTCCAGAGGTGATAGATTGGATTGTCTTTTCTAGCACCATTCCCTGCTTTTAAGGTTTTTAGCGTGACACTGGAGATCTTTTTTAGTTGCACGGCTTTCCTGTGCTAGCCCCAAAGGAGACAGGGACAGTTTCTAAGAACTCTGAAAATACGCAGACAACTAAATACTAGCAAATATGTCATCATGTCCTGCTGCTTCAGGGTCATGCGTTGCCTCTGCAAACATAGCTGCAGCTCTACCAGAGGCAGTGTGATTTTGACCCAAAGTCTTCTAGCTTGCTAGTGGGCAGAGGGAAATCCAGCAGCAGCAAAAAGCTGGCAGCCTTCCAGTTAACCCTGTAAAAGTTAGACAACTATTTTCTGGTACAGACCAAGTTTCTTTCGATGTCTCAGAAAGTTACTCTTTCCTCTTCATTTGTACACATGACATAAATCCTGTGAGTAGCCAGGTACCCTGGATACAAATATTTCTGCCTGAGCTGTTCCTTGAAATCAAGATCTGAATTTTCTGGTTTGTTTCTCTGTTTCAAGTGTAAATGTGAAACCCAAACAACTGGGAGTTTAAGGAATCCAGAATCAAGGTCTGAAGTCAAATGTTCAGATTTAAGCCATCCCTACTGCAAGTGCGGGCAATTCCTTTATTTCTCATCGGTGATTCTCTCCTGTGGATGATAAAGTGCATGAAAAATATGTGTCAATATTCTTCCTTGTACTTACGGACACATTCACTTTGATTAAGAGATCTGGCCAAGATCATCAAGCAAGTCCCAGGAAAAGTTAAAAATGGAGCCGGATTTTCCTGTCTCCCAAGTCGCACTGTATTTCTGTGGGGAACCACTGGAAACATGTGACAGAAATACTGCAGAAAATAACCATTTACGAATATCTTCAATAACTCATCAGCCAGTCTTGGTATTACTATAATTGCGCATGGTGCCAGCATGTCAGTAATACTTTGCTCAGGCAGTTCCTAACATAGCTTGTAATTTAAATAACTTTTCCCAACTTTTAATTACATTTTTGTGTAATACAACTCACTGCACTTTGTGCATACCTTGAGGGTGGTGGTATGGTCTGGTAGTTGTTGTGAAGGGTTGGGAATGAATTACAAAGGACACAGTTTTTGAGTTCTTCTCAAGTACTTGCTCAGCTGTGTAACCTTGGGGCAAATAACTCAACTGCTTTGTGCCCAAGTAAACCCAGCTGTAAACCATCTTGAAAACCAGATGGTGCACAAGATTTAAACTGCTCAGGAGAATGAAGAGGGATGGGGAAGAAAAAAAAAAAAAAAAAGTGAATTCTCCAGCTCATTGCAATTGCTTCCAGTAGATTTAATCTGGACTTAACCAATATAACTGAGAAGAGAATCTGCCTTGATATAAAAAAAAAACCAAACCCCAAACTCTCAAATCTTTTTTTTCCTTTCCTCTCTTGACTTTATGTCACGTACCTTCTCTCTAGAGGTTTCATTTTAAACGTTTGGTAGAATACATTTTTCCCTGGCACCCTGAAGATTCTAATTCAGGATCAGGTTCTACATGACTAATCTTTGATATTTTACATGATTATTTTTAGCCACTTAATTCTATAACATTCTCTTCTCCCTGCTTTTCATGCTACCATTCTCCTTCCTCAGCCTGGCTTAGCTTCAGTGGCACGGTGGTGTGTTCTGGTGCTTGAGTACTGCACTGCCAATAAAAATGCTGAGCTCTATTGTCTTCTGTAGATGGTGTGTCCTGGCTTAAAATCAGTATCAAAGCTATTACAGGATTTGTATTGCTGGTCAATGAACAAAGGAAATACTATACTCAAGTTTTTGTAGCAGAATAAATGTTTGCCACATGTTAGTATTTAGGAGAAGATTTAAATGTTTCAGTATTTTTTGGCCTTAGCTAAAATGTAGCCTTTTTTTTTCCCCACCAGTGCCACAGGAATGTGGAAATGCTTACTTATGTAGGAGTACAAATGTAGGAATACTTCTGTACACTTCCAAAGCAGGGTGTATTAGGTTATAAGAAGGGGAAAAAAAATACATTTTTAGTCTAGTATAAGCAAGGAACATTTAAAGACATGAGATGTAAAGGAGCCATTTTATACACTACTCAGGAAAGACCTTGCATGTTTTTATTAATCGCTATTGAAAATAAAACATTGACAGGTTTGAAATTTGTTGAAATCCCTTCCCAGATAAGAAAGGATTAGAGCTGAAAGAGTAAGTTACAAACAAATTTAACAAGCTAGAGCACCTAATTTGCTTAGGCTCTTACAAAAACAAATGTCAGCAAATTGTCTTCAGCAAATTTAGCCCTTATTATACAGTACTGGGATGGTGAAACATTTAATTGTTATTCAAAATTGGTGATCATTTTTCCAATGTAAATAATTTTCAGTTTGTGTGTCTCTCACAAAGTTTTTGCTCTATTTCATGTTATTCAATCTTTAGATTTGACATTTGAGCTATACTATTAGTAATTTAAATTATTGAAATTCTGTGCTAGTAAATGCCATACTGAAGTGCCTGCAATGGACAATGACACTGATCAAACATTGAATTGTTAATTAACCTCAAGCTAAAGTAGAAATCCTCTGATATTGTTTGAGGCCCTGTTTGGATGATCTAACATTCCTTCTCCCCTCCTACTACCACTGGAAACTAATTTTAAGAAAAGGTGCAGTTCTTTTGTGTGAATAAAAGAATTTTAAATTAATCAGAACACAAGACATTCTCAGATGAACAGCTGTGGAAAACAATAAATAAAACAGAAAGTGAGCTGTAGGTAGAGCAAATCCAGGTGATGAGGAAAATCATGACTAGAGTTGTCTAATACGGTAACAGGAAAAATGTAAAATACATTTTCAAGCCCTGAGCTATAGAAATACTCATCAGACTCAATTTACATTTTTGCTGCTCATAATAAGTAAAAGGTTGATTTAGCTCAGTATTGCCAGCTGAAACCGCAGCTGGGAGTATTCTGTCTCCATCAAGCTAGGGCTTTCCCTTCTGTGTTCCTGAGTGTAAATCATTGAGCTTTGCTTCATTTCACAGTCCCGTGAATTGCTCAGACGGTCTGTTTAGAGAAAAGATTGTTGCATCGTGGCTTTTGCATGGTCCAACCCAGTTTCTTTTCACTCTTGTTGGGAATAGGATGATGGATGCTTCATGTTGTTATTGCTATCATAAAATGGGCCAGCTCAGAGGATACAGCTTCAAAACCCCTTGTCCCTTGTACATGCTGAGACACAACGCAGTGAGATGCTGCCAGTAAAATACATATTGATAGACTGGTGATTTGGATGCATTGCAACGTATTGAGTAAAAGCGGGTCTTAAGGCAAATACTAAAATGATGAATTCCTGAAGCCAGAAATTTCAGGCATCATTAAACCTTTTCTTCTTTAAAAAAAAGCCCTAATGAATTAAATATATTTTATGTGAAGGCCTTGTTTCTTTAAAACAGCATCTTGAACTTGAAAACTAATTTGTTTCGGGAAAAAAAAAGTTAGTTTTAAGTGACCTCCTTGTTCTTGATTAATACAGTCTTTTTTTTGCAGTCTTTAAACCACACTGCTCTATTTGTCCCTCTCTCATTGACATGTAGGAAACCTACAGAAAAATGAGAAGCACGCCATTGAGAAACTGACTACAAAATGCTGCTACAAGTATGTATTTTGCCCATATAATCACTTTCAAAAACAGTCAATATGTGTTTAAAGAAAAATAACCTGAAAAAATAGTGATTTTTTAAAATCTCCATTTAAAGAGACACTGTAAGGCTAACGCTTGCATATGAAGAAATCTCTCCCCAAGTTGAAACACTTTCTAAACTGCAATTTAAAAGCTTTCAATTACTACTTTTCACTATTTATGCTCTTCATTTACTTTTTGCCTTTTTTTTTCCAGTCTTGTGACCAAGAAAATCTGGTAAATTTTGCTTGCTCAGTATAGCTCACATCACTCTTCTTGTGTCTCACTGTAGCTTATTGCCTATGTTTGGGAATACAACCATCCCCAACAGAAGTAATTTCTCTTAAAATTAGGATTTAATTATTTTTATTAATAAAATCCACATTTTAAGCCTAAACTATTTGACTTTGTCCCTTTCAGAAAGGAAATAATTTGGGAACATCTATTTTTTAAATCACAGTTTCTAAATTCTTGCCGCAAAGAGAAAATTCTCTAAGTTCCTTTGCTGAATGAGCACGGGATTTTTAAGGAAGACATGAAGACAAAATGAAAGAGCCTCTTGCACAACCTGATTGCTGAATTTCAGCGATGCCCCTTATTACCAGCTTATTTTCTTGCCTTTTTTTCAGGGCTGTGGAAAACAGTTTCTGTTGGCTGCATCAAAGTGTAGTGGCAGATTTCCCTTTGGAAGTCAGAGCCTGTTTCAAGCGTCTCTTTAAGTCCTGCATGTTTGGAGACTTGGGCCGGACAAGGTGGAGGCCTCTTCGTTTCTCTCCGTTGCAGCTCCCGATCATCCTGCTGACCTCCTGGCAAAGCTGCTGGAAGGCTTCATGCACTCCTTCACAGTTCTCCCTGGCCGAGACTTCATAGTAAGTACCTCCCAGTTCAGTGGCCAGCTGGAGTCCTTCTTTGGAGGACACCTGCCTGGCTCGCAGGAGGTCTCCTTTGTTCGCCATCAGAAGCAGGGGAATGTTAGCATTCGGGTGAATCTTGCGGATGTGCTGGTGTAGGGGACGGATGACTCGGTAGCTCTCATAGTCTGTGATGGAGTAAACAAAAACGAAGCCATCTGCCCAGTAGATTGAACGGTTTATCTGCTCTTGGCAGCATATGCTGTCAGTGTCATCCTGCCATCAAAACCAAGAGGTGTGAGGTTAGAAAACCGAGAACAGGGAGCAGACAGAGCAAACAGTCATACAGCACTGTTAGCTACTCGGAGCTTGGTTTTAATGGGTGGCTCTTTCTCAATGTACAGGCAGAACCTCTCTGACTGCCGGGGAATGTACCAGCAACAGGAGAAATTTCCACCGTGTCAGTAACATATTACAGGTAAGCAGTAATGTGGAGAGGGGTCAGAGCAAATTGGCTGAAAATACTGATATCAAAAAGTTTGTTCTGTATTCTACTGTACTAAACCAGTGTGACAGAAACCAGCTCTTTTATTGTGGATAAAATTCTGATGGGCATGGGAAGAGCATTATAAAATTCAGCAGGCTAGTCACACTACTTCAGGTGAGCGGTTGCTCCCCAAAATGTTTTTTTAGGGCTTTTCCCAATTCTGTATTCAATGTCTCCATGAACAGGGGTTCTCACTAGCTCTGGTGAAGCCTAACAGGTTTTTCTGCCATGTAAATCTCCAGATAATCAAAGGCAAAGTTACTCTCAAAAAGCAATTTGTTACAAATAGCCCATTACTAGAACTGAAAACGAGGTGAAATTTCATTACTCATTTGTAGAGCAGCACTGGGTTTATATTATGGTTTTGTTGGTCACGCGTTTGTTCAGTCCATCACCACTCCTACTCAGCCAGCCATAACAATCACCAGCATTGGGAATATAAAATTGAATACAATACTGTGGGGCTTGAAAAGAGATCAACTTACTTTTTAAGATGAAGCTGTTCTCAGCTAATCCTCCGCTCTTTGTTATCCGTGCTGGCATGTAACCCAACCAGATAGGGAGATCACTGTGCAGTTATGGCCAGTATGCTTGGTTTGTAAGAACTGACATTCCTGTAAATATTACAGGCTTTCTGGAACTTTGTAATTTATTTCATATCCACCAAGGCACTAAGCATATTCAGTATTGAGCTCTTGATGAAGTTGGTAGGAATTAGAAGTTTTTGTGTATTTTAGGGGCAGTTCAACATCATGAATACAGAGCCCAAACTTTATTATGATTGCTAAATTCTATTCAAGAAATCTTCATCAACTTCAGTAAGACTATTAGAACATATGTTCCATTGTCTATAGAATATATATCTGCCATTCACATTCATTTTAACAGAATTTGTGTGTGCTCAACAATCTCCAAAAAAAGATCACTTTTATTTAGACACCTAAGTATGAATTATAAAGCCTAACTTCAGGAAGCAGAGTTGGAAAAGAAAGAGGAAAACTGATCAGTCCTTTTATGGTAGATGAGACAGTAAAAAAAGGACCGCTGACAAGGCTCTTCTGTGAGAAGAAGGAAGCAGAGTTTTTGAAGGCTCAGAGTATAAATTAGGCTTACAACTTGCAACAGGAGTTCTGCTAACTAACTGCCCTTTGTAAATATTTCAATATTGCCCATAGAGACACTGGCTTATCATACCTAGTAGTTCTTTGCCCTTGACGGCTCACTAAATCCTGTTATTAGGGAAATTTGTTTAACAGATGCTCTTATCACTCCTCTCCCTCCCCCAAACCCTCCAACCCAAAAACCCAGCAGAGTTGCACATGGAATGACGAGGGATCCTCACTAGCAGCCTCGTTTGAAAGGTTAACGAGAGTGAACTCAAGCCAGGACAGGGCAGATTGTGGGAAGAGGGGCAATTTGTGCTGTTGGTGTCTGGGTTGTATCCAATCTGTAGATAATTAGCCACCCTTCATGTCCTGCTAGCCTCTTTTCACCAGCAAACTCCTTTCATGGGGAAAAAGAACTAATTGCTCTGGCAAGCGTTTGAAAATGTTTTTGGAGAAGGTGTACATTGAGAGAGCCCTAATGAGCAGAACTTCTCAGTTACTGCAGCTAGGCCCACCCAGTAGTGAGATGGATGGATAATCCCCAACGGAATGCTTTATTCAGGAAAATCAAAGGCTAATGGGCTACTTTTTAAATGGAAATCTCTGCTCCAGAATGAATTTTGAAACACACAGTCATTTGCCATGTATAGAGCAAGCAGCAATGAATCACCTAACAACACCAGTTATCTGTTTGCTTCTGTTTCTCTCTTAAACATTAACATCTCCCATGTGGCTAGAATCCTGAGTGATTCCACGTGACTTCCTCCTCAAACACTGTACTCAGCCTGCAGAGTGCAAGAAACTCTCTTTTTTAAGGATTTTAACAGAAAATCCAACCAACTCTTAGTCCTAACAAGTTCTGTTCAGGAACAGTCCCTCCAAATGGTTTCAGATACATCATTTGATGCAAACAGAGATACAGGCGAAGATATGCGCGTCTGTGGGAACTGTTGAAACAGTGCAGACCTTTGACTGGGACAAAGAAAATGAAACTCCTTTCTAACTAAATTAAAATCGTTTCAGACTAAGAAACCTCCGCTGTTGGCATTACTAAATTTTGTGGAGCTCTGGCTACAGTCACAGAACTTTAGTGCACAGTCTTAATTAAAACAGAGAAACCGGAAAATAAACATATATCTGGTGTGAAAGAGGGAAGTAAATTCCCTCACTCTCTCCATGGCATAGAACAGAGAGGGGATTCCCTTTGTTAAGTGTTTAGCAGGCAGTCCCAGTTGTGCCTAATCACCACCAACAGTTTCTCTTTGCAGGTCCTCTCTAAGCAAGCTGGCATAGGGCCTTTGTGCAGTTAAGTCCCACTTGAATATTTGGGGGACTTCCATAGCAGCTTTTGTTTGCTTTTTAATGTCCAGAGCAAATGAGGGTTCCTCTCCACTGCTCTGCGCACCCCCCAGCAGCAGCAGAGAGCGTAGAACTTTGTCAAAGATTTCTGCTGAAATCCACTTCCAGTCATCAGAGAAAATGGAAATGGAAACCGAGACTGTGGGAGCTTTGCTTTTCCTGTTCTCTAAGCTCAGGATGAAACACTTGTACAGCACAGAAATGAACCCATGCGCACATGGGTCCATGCAGACAAAACAAAGTACATAAAGCTGTCCAGGGCCAGCCTGACAGAGGAAGAGAGAAGGTGGTGTTCCCATCCAGACATGTATCTGGCTAAGACAGAGCTTAGACTAAGATTAAGGCCAAACCTAGAAGTTTAGGTTTGATGATGACAAGAGGATACCTAATTTTATCACAGCTATTCTATAGGAACGATTACTCTCATGAAAGAACAAATTTCATTACATTTCCTGCTGCTTTGACACTATTTTCATCCTCTTGTTCTGCATGTGAAGCGGATCTTCAGAGAAAGACATCTTATTCTTAGATCCTGCTTGGAAAAATGTTTCTAGAAACAGGTTACTAGTCAAATATTCTATCTAGAATATCTAAAACACTGATAGAAAGAGGTGGAGATAAATGCTAACACCTTTAAAAAATAAGAAATTAATAAAATTAACAAAAAAAAAAAAAAAGAAAGCACTGAAAAGCGCTCTAGGTGGAAATGACAACTGCTGTGAGACCTGTCCCCTTGGAAAGAAACACCTTTCTAGAGAGGAAGGATTCTGGGTGTGCAGAAAGTTCTAAGTTCAGCTTCCACACAGGTGAATTTTCTGCCATGCAGAGACAGAAACCATTTGACAGGAAATAAAACTATCAAAGACTTGGTAGGAGCGAGCCAGACTACAATTTTACTGCCATTTAGGCTTGAGGTGCAGTAATGTGTTTGAAATAGATTTATTTTAATTCTGACTTACTCTTCAAGGAGCCTGATTTAACCTCTTCAAGGGCTCATTTTGGTGGGGCTTATGGTACCCCCATTAGTCTTCATTTGGGTTTGAGCCCAGGTATATTTCTGCTAAGCGGAGTTACTTACAGATGGAAGTGCTGGCAACGAACAAGTGACAGTAACTGTGCTGCAAAGCACCCATGCACTGAGCAGATGTTTTACCTCCAACGAAACAAAGGGAGTATCCTGCACCTGGAGAGAGATCTGTTCCCCATCTATGGTGAACTTTCTTGAATACAAAGCACCTGGTGGAAAAGTAAGATCATTAGAGTCAGTGACTGTAACAAAGACGAAAGAGTACATAAAGGCAAAATGGAACTGTTGAAATCCAGATTTTTGAGGCTTATGATATGTAGCTGCTTGTATAAAATGAATGGCACCACAGCAGTTGTGTGGGTCTTGATTTAAGTAAAGTGGTTTTGTATTTGCTATATGGTCAGATGTTTTGAATGTACGCCTGGGGTGGTATCGGGGAATGGTGGCACTTCGTATTGAATCAAATACTCAAAGTGGGCACATAAATGCCATTCAGGTTTTCAATCCACATTGTTAACTTTTTAAAATGTAGGCTGCATATATTTTTAATCTCAAACCAAGATATCCAGGTGTTGTCCATAAAAGGAGTGAGCTGTTTCCTATTGCATTTTTCTGAAAGTTTTTAAAAAAGGAAAGTATTCTCATTTTGGACACAGAGTAAATGACTGTATACAAAACACCTAGATGCTCTTTGGGATTTGTGTGACCTTAGTAGTCAGAGTTTGGTTGGACTCCCCAAAGACTGGACGCTTTGAATCTGACTTCTGGTTAATCAGTGACACACATTCAGGGCCAAGTGCTAGTTCAAAACAGCTAGGACTGATCCAGCTCTAATAAGACCATCACTGTTCTGGGCTTGAACTTTATTTTGTTACTGGAGTGCTGGTTAAGTGAGAATAAAACTGAAGTGTTGATCTTACGAACTATCCACAGTTGTGATAAGGACAGCCTCAGAGATTGATGTCATCATCATTTTACTTTAGAACTTATTCCAAGTCACATGCACATGTGAAGAAATGCTATATCCAGGGCTGTTGTGTACAGCCTTTCTGTCTTGTCCAAATACAATTGTCACTGCTGCAGATAAAATAACGGACTTCAACTCAAAGAGAAATCCTGTCTATTGGAGAGTAAGGAATTCGGATTAACAGGGAGGTCAGTTAGTGACAATAATGCCATCACTTTTGAAAATCATCTTTAGTTCAAGGAAGCAGGTGTTTTTATTCCAGTGGAAAAGAGTCTGAGCTCATAGAAACATTTACAATAAAAGGAAATTTAGTATGGCAAAGTTTGCTGAATCTGAATCCAACATTATCACATTATGTTTTAATACAGACTCTGTGAGGTGATATAGCCCTTCTGGGATTTTTTTTTTTTTTTAGAGCACTTCGGTTTTAAGATGAAAAGATCATACTGTTTTATGGGAAGATACTGCACCCCTGAACCAAGACCAGACAACATATTATTCCTATAGGGTAATGCACTGCAGAAAAAAGAGCAGGTACTTCCAGACACTGACTGTGCTCTGCCTCAGACCCAAGTGAAGGAGAAGCATGGTTGAATGATCGCAAATACACTGCCACCTGTTTCTTATTTCTGGCATATTTGTTTCTTCCACAGCACGGCTGATGGGCTGGTAGCTTAATGAGAAAAGCATGTGGTTCTCAGCAATGTCTCTGGCAGCAATTCATTACAAAGCTCAGAAGTCTAACTTGATATACAGTCTCCCATAGAAGAGAAGAAGGAAAAGAAAGAGAAATAGTGCAGCCAACCATCAAGGTTACTTAGGGTCAGTGAGAGGGAGCTGTAAGGAGGAGCTTTCAGATTGTATTTCATCAGACAGGCAGAGATCAAAGGTGTCTTGTACTACCATCTCCTTTCCTAACCCATCATTCTAAATTCAGCATCCATCTCCAAAGTGAGGCAATCACTGCTTTGAGTCCTGTCCTCCTTCACCCAAAAACTGTGAGATGGCCTACGTGTGGGATGTGCTAGTAGGTATGAGCACGGTGTACCTAGATCCTTTCTACAACACCGGCCAGTACAGCTGGCACTTTCTTGGAACACAGGCTGTGAATTACAGAGTTCACATGAACACATCCCCTGAGGTGTCAGGATTAAACAAGCAATGCAGCAGAAGCAGTTTGCATGGTCACTTTGCTTATCGTATGGAAAGAAGACTTCAGTTTGGAAGTCTCCCTTGTCACAAAAGCCACTGAAAAAAGGGAGCACACAGAGAAAGTTCTGAACTGCCTTTTACGTGCTTTGGAATTCCTCTGGCTTCCCTGGGGTTGCAGAGAGAGCAGCATTGGATTTCTGCGGTTTAGTCCATATGCAACTTGTTCCTCGAGTCTGCATTTTAGTATAGGTATGTCCCCAAGCAAACCTTTTACTCTGATCCTTTTCCATCAAGTTGGAAAAAAACAGCTAAAAAGGATCATAAATAATGAGCCTTTGATTTATTGCTTTCATAGCTTGAGGCTATTAACTGAAAATATGCACCTTATGGACATCTAACACTGCTTGGCTTTCCTGTAATACACACCAGTCACAGAACAGAGTAGATTTCAAGCTATCTGTGGTACTGCAGCAGAAAGCGGACTCACCAGTATTGGCTTCATAGTCTCCAATAAATCTCTTCGTGAGAAAGCGCACAACCAGGGCTGTAAAACAATGAAAAAAATATGGGTCTTTAATGTGAACCAAAATCAATCTTTACAGAACACATGTAATATCTTACTGGGAGAGTCAGTATAATATGAAACCAAATTAATCTTTGAATTGCTCACATATTATTCTGCAAATGCTCCTCTCCGCACTCACAGAAAAAGATCTGGGGCCAGGCTGTGATACCTAATGCAGAGTTTTTCGCAACTTGTGTCAGAAATTATCCCTGAGATTGAGTGTGGCGATTCAGTGTAGTATGCAGAGGTTGGTTTGTTGTCATTGCAGGTGTAAGAATCTGATTTTTGGTTTCGAATAATTTTGAAAAAGAGTAACAAGCCAGTAAACTGAAACTAATCCCAATACCACATTTATGACCTCTGTGTCGTAGAAGTGAGGCTGATGGATGTAATGGTTCTTCCCAGCCTTAAAAATCCTGAGTCCTCCTCATGAAACCCAGCATCGGTATCTAATCACATCCAGCAAACAAACTGCATGTGCTCAGCGCACATAGGTCATGCTGCAGTGCCCTGGGCCTTCTTATTCACCTTAACCTGCGGTGCTTTCTTACACTGATGGATTAGAACTTTTTCCTTTTTCTTGGTCACTTTATAAGACTTAAAATCCTGTCGTGGCAACAGTAACTTCTATTCCTGTCGTGCTTTCATCTCAGCAGATTCCTAATCATTTGCAAAACCCCTTAGTTAATAGCTAAATAAAAGGGTTTATTCTGCAAATAACACCATCATAGATTTCATTTAAAATAATTATTTTTCTCACAGTGGATACTGGGTCACCTCTTTAGTACCCTCAGATGAAATTGACTGTGCTACTATCTTTAACAAACTACTTAAAAATAACATGAAAATGTGGCTCCTTCAAATCCAAAACAATCAAGCATTTTACCAAGTCCTGTGGAATCTCAGATGTAGTAAAACAGATCTGGCCTTAATAATCTCTGAAATCATGAACCATATATTCCAAAGCAATAATGCTCGCTTTAGCCTCTTTTCTTCTCCTCTGCTTTGGAGAACAATACAGGAAGACACATCTCATATGCTCTTATTTGTCTGCAGAGCATAAAACATTTACAACAGGAGAATAAAACCCACTAGTCCCATTTTTGGGGTGTATAAATTTAGACACAGTTAAATAACTTGCACAAGACCAGGTGGAATCATTTGTGAGTACAAAACTCCCAACACAGTGCCCTCTCAACTGCCACCTCACGCTGGCTGCTCACACAGACCTACAGCAAGTGTTCCTCAGAAATTATTCAGTCCATTTTAAAAAAAAAATAAAAAAGAGTAGTAACTTAAAATGCTCAGGCTGCACCAGTTAAGAGTTTTCACAGCCTTGGGTCTATCTGAGCTGCAAATGAGCTCGTAAGTACAGCAGCAAGAAAAAGCATGGAGCTACACCTGCGGACTTACCTGTCTTCCCAACGCTACTGCCACCCAGTACCACGAGCTTGATGATTTTGTTGGGCACGCAGTCTAACACAGGATACTCTGGTATGGGGAGCAAGAGAAAGTTAGTAGAATACTGTGACATCGTATCCTGAGAGATGAGACGCATGCCAGAAATGAGAGCTGTTCAACTCCAGTAGGAGCTGGGGGAGAAAAGAAGGAAAACAGCTTCTCGGCGTCTGTTCTTGGCTGTATATCCTTGGATAGAGAAGCCTTCTCATTTCATTTAAGTAGCTTTCCTGAGGAATGTTAGAGCAACTGGCCTCCTCTTCCCGATGCCTCTGCTCAGACAGCAACTATGGAAAGCAAAAGAGAACTTTTTGATCAGCCCCCGTGAAAACTGACTCCTCCACTCCCCAGCCAATCACAAGGAAACCATGACATTCCTCCAGCCGGGCACCGAGCGTGTGCCTCCATCCACCACGCTCCCGCACTCGCTCCCTGCTTTATCTCTCCCCACTGCCTGGTTTATGTGCTGTCCCTTGGCTCTGTGCTAAAACGAGATTCTTCTGTTTTACAGTCATCACAGTAGCATTTTCAGTGAGATACAGTCAGCCTCATGCTCTGCTCGAATTCCACTTTGAATAATCCCGTTCTGCCTGTCTAGTTTCTTTGCATTTTCAGCTGGCTCCAACTCCGTGCTCTGTTGTTCTCCCTGTCCTATTGTGTCGTGCAGTTGGGCCCCTTCAGAGTGCCGAAGCTGATGGGATGCTCCTCTTCAGGAAAACAACACATTTCCCACCCCCCCAGCCCCCTCCCCCCAGGTTTTCAGGCAGCTGTGGGTTATTCCAAAATACTAGCTCGCATACGTATCCTCCAGGATACATCTGATCTGCTGGTTTATACATGTTGTTAGTCTTAATGGCCCACTGGAATGTGCGTTAGCATTGGGTTGGAACGCTGCAGTTTCTCCAAACATGGAAAAGTGAATTTAGGGCTGGCGACAGACTTGGGAAGGCTGAGGAAGGACTCGGCATCCTTCAGTGGGGCGAGCCAGACAGAAGGAATGAAGAAAGAATGAATTCTATAGGAAAACCCAGAGTAGTTTTAAGGCAGCTGGCGGCTGCGAGGTCTGTAGGGATGACAGCATGTAACCGTACACTAGCTACAATCAACTCTCAGCTATCACGGATAATGGGGAGGGAAGAAAAATGGAAGAGCAGTGGAGAGGGAACGACCCAGATAAAGCAAAATTGCAAATAATATAAAACAGATGTAAATTAAACTCCAGAAAATAGAGTTAGAGCATTCATCTTCGAAAAACTTCTCCGAAGAGGTCTGCAAGGGGCAGGAGTAGCTTTAGGCAGCAGTGGGAAGAGGCGAGTCTGGTGCAGGCAGCATGCTTCTGAGACGTGTACTCTGTCACGCTGTGTGGCAGACATGGATATTAACAGCAAGTGGCACCGCAGCTAATCCACCCACAGATCGCGGAGACCTGAGGATGCAGAGTTTTACTGTCTTCTGTACGCTCCTAGCAGGCAGAAGGTAGGCATGGCTCATTGTGTAAAGGCTGCAGCCACCAAAAAGGCTTTTTCTGCCCAGTTGCTTTCACGCCATTGCTTTCAATCACAACACACACGAGTGTGTGTGCGTGAGTGTGTAAAACCCAGCAGGTTTTAAAGGCCAGGGGGACGGCCGCGAGCTAGCACAAGAGGATGGGAAATCGGGCCAGGTGTCCAGATTACCGCCCCTTCCCAAAGCACTGGGGCCAGGCTGTCAAATGATCTCAGTTTCCACGCCAGCATCACAGAGGACGAGCTGAGTGTGAACCGGCTTTAGAAGAACCCGGCTTTGGTGCACAGCAGTCCAGCGAAATAAGCACAAGATTCAGAAAGATTTATGGATGTGTCACTTTTCTGAGGCTCTGTTTCCCCTCTGAAAAACTACTCCTGAAGCAGTATTTGTGCAGAGTTGCTGCGTAAGCACCAAGTGTGATTACTTTGACCATCACGACAGTCAGCTGATGAAGAGATGGAAGAAAATGTCTGGAGGGCTACCCAGCTCATGGTACTGGGCAGGAGCCGGCACATCATGTGTCTTTTGGGACATGGCTCCTGTGTGAATGGCTTTCAAATCTTCCAGTGTAAATTTGCTTCCAGATTTTTGCAAAAACCCAAACACTGAAACATCTTTTCCAGGAAATTTCATTACCAGGGTGCTTTAATCTCACACAAGTTTTGTAAGAACAGGGAAAATGAGAGGAGGAATAGGAAAATGCTCCAAATCTTGTGGTCAATTAACCGGGCACTTTGAAATGTGTTATTGACCTGGACACACTATAAATTTTGGGATTAGCTAGCAACAGAATGTAACTGTCCACCTCTCTAAGCGTAGGATGTTGGAACATTTGTTACCATTTGCTATTAAAAGCATATGTTAGTGAGTAATATAAAAGTATTCATCACAATAGTCCTCCTATAAAAAGAAACAGTAATATATCTATCAGCTTCTAGCTGGCCACAAGAGTTTCAGCCCAGGAAAAAAAGCCGGATAAGTTAAGCAAGATCATGGAGAACATTCTGTGTGAGCAAAGACATTCCTAGAAGAATACAGATCTGCTGGCTTGCTCCAAAAGAGAGGCAACACAATCAACAGAAACACAAGTGAAGTCCTTTTTGGTAACCAAAAGTTGTGCCAGTGCTGAGGAGCTCCAGCAGGACCTTGCAAAAGCGAGTGAGTGCAGATAAAGTCGGCAGACGAGCTTTAGTCTAGATAAATGTAAGGTAATGCATCTAGAGAAAAAGAATATAAACTACACTTAAGTGATGCTGAACTTGGACGTGGCGCTCATAAATTAGGTAAGAGGCCTCAGAGTCATCACTGGCAGTTCACACTCATCGGCTCAGTGTGCGACAGCAGCAAAAAAAGCCAACAAAATGTTTGAGATCCTCAGGAGGGGAATGGAGAAGGAGACATAAGGTAGCATTGTTGCTGCTGACGTAAACCCTGGGAGCGTCCCCGTCGCCAGTGCGACACGCAGTTCTCTGCGTCTCAGAAATACAGTGGGGTCTGCGAAGGCACGGAGCTGGGCACCAAAAACGATCACGGGCGTGGAGCAGCTGCTGCGTGAGGAGAGACTGGAAAGGCTGTTCACCATGTGCTTGTACGGATGCCGGTGCTGACACGAGAGAGGAGATGTGTGGGGGCAGGAATGAAAGACCAGTGGTGGAGGAAATGTTGAACTGCTGCTTTTGGCAGCTGTGATGGCTTCTGGTTGCGTGAAACAAATGTGAAGGCAGTTTTGGGCTGCATCTTGGAAGCAGACCAACCGATTTCCAGTTCCTTTGCTAATATGGTTCAATCTAAAATTCTTACGTGCTAGCCCAGGCTTCTTGTGCTACTAACCAAAGCTTGTTTCCACTGTGTGCAGAAATCTCTGTCCAGAGAGAATGTTTTTTAGTAGTAATAAAAAAGCAGCATATTCTTGAGAAGTTTTACATCTATTCTCAAGCTCCCCCACCCCCATCATAACTTTTAGGCTCTAATTCTGAAAGAATTTGCGTAAGATATGGAATCGCAGTCAGAGGTTTTCAAATCTGATCCTTATCTGATTTTCTAGATTGTCAGAAGAGTCTTTTCACTGAGTGAAGCCATGCAGAAGGATTCACACTATTTGAGATTGTATAACCCTTGGCATGTAGAATAAGAATTGTTTTTAAAAGAGATTTTCATAGTTTGTGCACAATGGACTTATATTTAGCTAAGAAAACCATGTTGTAAATTCAAATTCTCTTGGAAAAACAATAGCTTAGATTAGAGGGAGAATGTTTGCAAAACTCAGAGCAACTTTGAAAACATTTGGATGATTCTGGAGATTTCACTAACCACTCCTTGGGTTGCTCCATGCGAAGATATGCGCCTTTGCATGTTGCAGGGAGATTATGTTATTTCCACACCAATTTTTTTACAGATTTATTTATTGGTCTCTGTTGCTTTTGGCTATGGTTTTAATAAGATTTTCTATTTTTATTGTTGTTGGCACTCCTACACATCTTCAGGGATGAAGCATTCTAAAAATAAAAATATTTGCCATTACCATAGTGCTTTTCATATGAGGATGTCCAATTGCTTTTAAAACTGGATATAATTATTCCTCATACATTTTACAAAAGGAGTAACAGTTGAGCAGAGCCAGAGCGATCTTGCTAAGATCCAAAAAACTAAAAGTCACTTTGTAAGGGTTACGTTTACCTCCCGTGCAGTTTTGCACAGTGTGGCGACGGTGTGGCAACACGGCTGGAGAAGTACAGCTCATTCTGAGCAGAAATGCTCAACGTGGTGCTGGGGCGATGCCGGCTGCTTTGGCAGATGCTGTGCTAAAACTGGTAGCCGGCGGCTCGTGCACGCGTCCCCCGCTCCCGCATGCGTGCCAAACAACAACGGCTTGATCTTTGCGGCTTTGTCTGACCGTCATTGTTCTTTGTTGCAAACTTGGGGCCCAAAGGCCAGTTCTCACACTGCACTAAGCAAAAGTAGTGTTTTAGCCACCTTTTTTGCTCCCAGTAACTAAATACTGGAAAGGCAAATAAAAAGCATCTTTCCAGGAGATGGGAAAGGAACAGCACGGGCTGGGATGCGCACGAGGAAGGAGCCTTCCTCTATGTGCTTGGGATTCCACCTTGTGCAGAGCCTGATTGTGGGTAAAATCATTAAAAATTCAGCCGCCTCCTTCAGCAGTAACCTCAGAAGATGTTGTCTGGGGACAAGGCTGCCATTTTAGCACCATAATTGTACTCGGCACACAGCTGTTCTGATCCCGAGGCCAAAGGGGAAGGAAGCATCCTCAGATGCTATTGCGATAGCCGTGATAAATCATATTTGATTCTATTTTGGGTTGTAAGGGAGGAGACCGTTTAAATATACAGTTCAGTTTGGTTAAACACAGTACAGATGCCACTATTTCTGTATTTCCTGTCCCTAATTTTATTGCATGGAAACCCTGTAACCCTTTTTCACTTTTAGCATATTTTGTAGGGATTTTTTTTTTTTTAGATTGCAGAATACTCTCCCTCGGGAGCCTGTAGTGGATGATGTGGAAAGTACAATGTGTGTATGTGTGTAAGAGAACATCGCTGCAGGGGAGCAACTCAAATAGAATGGAAACTTCTTGGCCTCATTAAAAAAAAAGTTAGTGCTTTGGAAACTGAACGGTCCTCCCTTCCCGCAGATATTCCCACAAGGTCAGGGCTGGAGGAAGGGGCGGCGTGTGGCAACGGTCCCATCACCGCTGACTGCGTGCTTCATGCCCAGCGTGGACAGAGGGCTTCCAGCCGCCTCCGTCAGCACTTCCCAATTTATCGTTA